CATAAAGAATGCCGAGGTGTTTTAAAAAGTCTGTTGTTCCTGACAAACCCGTCATAAGCTTGATTTTCCCTGCAGCAGCATCCGTCGTGAAAGGTGTATCTGAAACACTGCAAATGCCGTGCACTTGAACGAAGCTGCAGCTTTTTTCAGTCCCGTTGTCACAGTGATATGTGTACCCCCGTGATATGTGTACCCCCGCACACATATCACTAGTGATATGTGTACCCCTGGTAGGGATACACAAAACACTGAAGCTTTGCACCCGGGCCTTTTAGAGCTTCAAAGAAAACATGGTGGCTACGAGGAACAAATTTTGTGGTTTTATATTTTAAAGTTTCCGATCCAAAATATAAACGGAAGAAGATCACAATGCAACTGAATAACAAGGTAAGAGGTGTTTTTATATTTCCAAAACCTTTAAAATAGTTACATGGATTTCAGTCGTTTCGCCAGCATTTAATTTAAGTACCAACGATTAGTTCGCTCGAGCCACTGCTCGAAACTAGCGTTTGTCCTGTCGTTTGCGACAACTTAAAAGTGTGTTTGCGCAATAAGTTGTTTTGGTGGATAAAGGTCTAGAACTTTACCGCGTTTGGAAACTATTTCGTGTTCACGTTCCGTAGTTCACATCAATCACTCACTATACATCAAAACCATTTGAATTCATTTTTTAAACGGGGCTTCTATGTTGTTGATATTTTTTTTTTTTTGGTTTGTTTTTGTTTTGAAATCTGTACGGCCCTGGACAACCAAGTCCTTATCATGGTAACCGAAGTCTTGGTTTTCCAGTATTTGCCAGTATGGACAGCCTGGATATTTTTCTGCACTGTTTTTGTTGTGTCTAATAAGTGCTCATAAAAACAACAGGCCAACTAATTTGAACTACATGCGAAAGATCAGGTAATTTTATTGATAAATCAACATGGTTGTATAGATTATGAAAATGATTGTTAACTGATAATATTAATCTACTAGTAAAGTGATATCCACTGCATGGTAAGCGATATCTACTTGCAATGTTTCAGTGTTCCTCAAATGTATATGTACTATCCAATAAATATTTCAGAGCAAACTTTTGTTCTACTTTATAAATGTCACATATTCTTGTAAAATAGCAGTAACACTACAAAAAAACTTAACATTGTTTCAAAGCCTAATAATGCTGATGAATTTGTGAACAAGCCACCTGTAAATCAATGGGCAAACTCTAAAACTGGGTTTGTTACAGAAGTGAAACCTATCAGACAATGCAAAAAAAATATCAACAAACTCCAAGAAGGGAAGTACCCTCTGGAAAAAGGCATTTATGGATAGGCTTGTTAACAATGACTAACAAATGGTGATTTTTTTTTCTTTTTCAAATTGTGATACTTTTTAATGATTTATTCCATGGTATTGATTTCATCTGTAAAACTCTTGTATTTTATGTAGTTGACAATTAGCACCATGGCTTCATTGAATTACCATTGCCAAAATCATTTACTTTTCCTTTTTCTTGTGCTAGTACTTTAGCCTGAGTTGTCATTGAAGTGTTTTGGCCTGACATTTTGTTGAGTGGTGAGACTTTTTCAGTTTTATGAGGTAGGGGGGTTTAATAGTCTTCAGAGGGTCATGCCAGAACAGTTGGTTTGAAAGTGGAGCCAACCAAATAAAAATGGTCAGTTTGGAGAGGAAGGGTTTAACCCAAATAACTACTCTTAAGTGTCACACAATTATGGTAACAAGGGGTGGGGGCAGGGAAAAATTTTGATGAAAAGGGAAGTCATCACATATTATAGTGACTATCTACCACCCCACCACATAAAAATTGACAGTCCCTAATATTTTCAATAACCATTTGCCTTAAAAAATAGATGTCTGTATCTAAGCAATTTGGCAGTTATTGCACTTCCATTGAAACCTTTTATACTTGAAAACTTTGTCAGGAATTTTTTGGCAAGCTTGATGGAACCACTTCTTGCAATTGGTGCATTCTGCCATCTGGTCTTTGGTTGGATTGTATGGGAGGCGGCAGTCACAGTACACTGGCATGGCAACAGTCTCTTCATAACCAATGCTTGATTTTTCCTCAAAGGGGAATATACCAATGTATCCATTTTTAAGGGAATCTAAGAGATGTGCCCTTATTGCCCGCCTGTTGAACTTAAGTGATGTGGGGTCCATATTATGGCAGAGTGCTGTGGCAAATGCAATCACAAAAACTCCACAGTCTGTCCCATTTGTTTGCTGGTCAACAGGAGGGACACAAATTTCAATAACATTGCTGTCTTGGTTGAAAAGAAGGGCACCAATCTGCTCTCTGGTGAATGGCGCAATTCCACTATAAAGACTGTCATAGAGTTTCACTTGGTTGTTGTGGCTGCATCCAATATTACTGACACAAACCCAGTGATTACCACCAGTGTGTAGCACTTGAATGAAGCTGTTCCGCATCACTGGAAACTGTTCTGCCTTCCCAATTGTTGGAGACAGCAGCCCCTCGATATAAGGAAATTGGCGATGCAACAGTTCTTGGGCCATTTGTATTTGAAGATCTGTAAGCATTGCATTTTTTGCCAATTATGTCTACATCTTCTTGATTCAGTTTAAATGTAGGCCTTTGCATTTTAGCAATAGATGCTTCGTCCATCCTAGCCTGTTTCAAAAACTGAACTTCGTCTTCAGCTTCTTCGGCTCCTTGCATTTTTTTCTTTTCGGGGGCTTTTTTCTTTTCAAGAACTTTCCTTTACTTCTTTGTTCTATTTTTTGCAGGAATGCATCTGCCTCATGCTTTCCACCACTTTCTAGGAGATCCTCAGCCTGGTTGCGTGTAATTTGTAATTGCTGACAACATAGGGTAATTAGAGCCTCTGGTAAAAGTACCTCCATTAAGTACTTTTGACTGACCTTTGGGAAGTGCTTTGCTATTAGAGTTACCATGTGATATGTTTGATTTTCCTCAAAGTCCCCAAATGGCACATTGAACTTGAGATCTACCCTTTCGATCATCTCTTTATCCCTGTCTGATAATATTCTTCCATGGAAAATTTCATGTCGCCAGCTTTCCTTGGTGCCACTGAGTACTTCTGAAAGGTGATCTTTGATTACTTTGTCAAAGCAGGAAGCAATGTCCTTCTTTGAAATGTTCTGTATTTTTTTGTTTGGTTCAAAGGGCTGGTATTTTGCCGGTTGCTGAGCCCCTGGCAGATTAGGTGGTTTTGGCTGCCTGGAAGGTGCTTGCTGATTAAGTGATGTTTGCTGTTTGGAAGGTGCTGGCTGATTAAGTGATGTTTGTTGTTTGGAAGGTGCTGGCTGATTAAGTGATGTTTGCTGTTTGGAAGGTGCTGGCTGATTAAGTGATGTTTGCTGTTTGGAAGGTGCTAGCTGATTAAGTGATGTTTGCTGTTTGGAAGGTGCTGGCTGATTAAGTGATGTTGGCTGGCTGGAAGGTGCTAGCTGATTAGGTGATTTTTGCTGGTTTAAAGGTGCTGGCTGATGAGGTGATGTTTGCTGTTTGGAAGGTGCTAGCTGATTAAGTGATTTTTGCTGGTTTAAAGGTGCTGGCTGATGAGGTGATGTTTGCTGTTTGGAAGGTGCTGGCTGATTAGGTGATGTTGGCTGGCTGGAAGGTGCTAGCTGATTAGGTGATGTTGGCTGGCTGGAAGGTGCTAGCTGATTAGGTGATGTTGGCTGGCTGGAAGGTGTAGGTTGATTTGGTTGTGTTGGCTGGCTAGAAGGTGCTGGCTGGTGATGTTCTTTTGGCTGCTTGGAAGGTGCTTGAAGTTTGGGGCACTTCGACCGCGGCATTGGTGTTGGCTGATTGGGTGGTACTTTTGGTTGGGGAACCTTTGTCCGTGGCATTGGTGTTGGCCGGTGGTGTGGTGCTGGCTGTTGGTGTGGTGTAGGCTGCTTGGATGGTGCTTGTTGGGATGACATTAACTGCTGTATTGTGGCCGTTTTGGTTGGCGATAGCTGCTGGGATTGTTTTGGCTGCTGCAATGGTGTTGCAGGCTGCATAGATGGTACTGGCTGCTGCGATGGCGCCTGTTGTTGATGTTGGAGTGCTGTCGCTGAATGCTGAGAAGAACAGTGAGGATGCTGCAATGGTGGTTGTGCTGTCTGCTGAGCTGTGGATTGAACCCTGTACGCTTTGAGGTCTTTCATGTTCACTATCCTTCTTAGTTTCTCGCCACTTTTTCCACGTAACCTGCAGGTTCCCTTTTGTAAGTCAACCTCTTCTATGGTGTATGGGCCAGTCCACTGGTCTTCCATTTTGTGCCCTTTTTTTTGTCTTTTGGAGCATATTGCGGCGTAGAACAGCATCACCCTTCTTCAATGTGCAGTCGAAGCCTCCTTTTCTTTTTAAGAACTGCTTCTTTTTGCTTTTCTTGTGCAGCTTCTATGTTTCCCTGCACTCTTGGGAAAAGTGCATCTCTTGTGGCTGTCATTTGTTGCACATGCTCCTGGAGGACATCCTCTGAGTTTAATTCCCTTGCCAGTTTTTCAATTTCGCTGGGGTCGTTATCGACGTGCTTTACATACTTTTGGACTTCAAGAGGCAAACGTGGATGCCTACCATACATTAAATAGAATGGGCTGAACTTGGTGGTGTTTGATCTGTTGGTGTTAATTGCAAAAAGAGCACCATCCGTGTACTCGTCCCAATCCTGATCGTGGTCATCCGCAATCTTCCTAAGGGTACTAAACAAAAGTGACAAGTGCAGTAAATGGCTTGAACCCAGGGGTAACATGTGAAAGTGGAGGCTGATCGTCCGGGTGAGTGTGGTCCTGAGAAGGACTGTTGTCGTTGGTAGTGACTGACGTTTCGACAACCTGTGCGGAAGTCATCATCAGAGTCAAGTGAATGATTGTTGTCGGTAGAATGTTCTTATTCCAGTTCGTGGAAAATGATTGGCACCAACCATTTTATACGAACTGGAATAAGAACATTAGGTAGGTAGTAATTAGATGATGTATTACCTGCTCTTGTAATTCTGATAATATGTAATATTTAACATCTTTGCATTCGCTTCAGTCCGTAGTTTTAACACTGGAATCCCAAGCCATTACCGAATGGAAATAAACTTTGAAAGCACTAGCTTAGCTTAATGATATTTTAGGTAGCATGTCATGCCCTCTTTCATCTCACTGATAGGAGTTAAGAGTTATTTTTAGACAGAAAATGATTGCAACGCTCACTTCTTTATTGACTGGTTTGATCTCTCATCTAGGCCATTAGACTCCGGATGATATGCTGACGCGATCCTCTGGTGGACACCAAATGTTGTCATGAAGCGCTCGCACACCTGCAACAGAGACAATGAAGCAACGTCATGCAAGCCCCTACACAGATGTCTGTCAAAGGTTTCCGTTGTATAAAACGCTGACCTACCTGGTTAACGAATTCTCTACCCTGGTCTGAAATGATGTGAGCAGGGGCTCCATGGCGACAATATGCTTTGTAAAGGCCCTTTGCTACGCTTACGGCACTCTTGTCTGGCAGAGGAATTGCCTCTACATACTTGCTAAAGTAATCCGTCATTGTCAGAAGATAGCGGTTTCCTTGGGCAGAAACTTTGCCGGCATCTATTAAATCAATACCGACTAGGTACCAAACTTTAGAAACCACCTTCACGGGATGCAGCACGTCGTAACTTTTGCTTTCACTGGTATTACGTTGACACCGGTCACAATTTCGAATCTGTTTGTGTAAGAGAAGGCCACACTTAGAGAAGCATTGAGAGAACATAGAGAAGCCTATGATTCTTTTATTACAACATCTATTGGAAGTAAAGAAAATTCATTGTTTTATAAATATTTTACCATTATTGTTGTTAAATGCCTTTTATTATATGGCTGTGTCTCACAAGTACTGGGAACTACAGAATTCACAAATTTGACTGACTATTTCACATGGCTGATCTCGCTGAAAGAATCATGCTCTTTACTTGAGCCCGCTTTTTTTTGCAAAACCGCGACTTTTCAGGCCTCTTTTTTTTAAATAATTGCCACTGAAACGCTAGTGTTAAGATGCATGAATTGTGACAGACCGTGATGGTATCAAATGTTATTCAACACCAATGCCTCTACGTCTATACATTTTATTAAACTTACCAATTCAACAGTATCCTTGTAGTAAGAGGGCCAGTAGTAGCGCTCCTTAATTTTTGTATGGTGTTGTCCCGCCCAGCGTGGCCCGCAAAAGGTGAAGAGTGACACTCGTCGAAAACTCTTGTCTTTTCCTCCTCTTGAATGACCATGCGGTTAAAGGTTAATCCATCGTTACCACGGTCGACGTAGAAAAGCGAGCCTGATTGTACATCAAACGTGAACTGTTTCGAAAGTCTCCGTAACACTCCTTTTTCACGCTTGCTTGCGCCCTCTGGATACTCTTTATCTCTCAAATAATGAACCAGATTTGAATATTTTGTGGCATCCATCTTAATAATTCTCGTAAGATGCGAATTTCCCGCGAAAGAAAGGTCATAAGTATACAAGGTCCAACTTCCTAATTTGGGCATTGTTTAATAGAGGAATTTCCGGTGGGTAGAAGCGTTGCGTGAGAACAGTTAAATCAACGTAGCATCTACGCCTAATGGAATAATTTGTTGTATTTAAGAAAGGGTTCCTGGTTCTATAAAATATCGCCCATGGGTGCGGAATTGAAATATTGATTAGAAATTGTTTTGGTAAAGTGTCTAGCCAAACAAAAAGCGCTTACAGGCCAGGGATACCAATTTTACTGCGATCAACGTTCACTGATATGTGTATCCCAACATATCACAAACGTTTGCTTCCCACTGTGCCTATGAGTGCGATTTTGAAATATTTTATTGATTAGAAATTGCACTGGGCTAGAGAGGCCAGGATACACACATCACTACTGAATCACCGTCCAGTGATATATATCAATAAACATCAGGGGATACACGTATCACAGAAAAGCGATCGCAGTGATTTTAGATCACACTTCTGTTAATTTTGACTCAATAATACACTTACAAGCCATACTTAGCCAGTATTTTGCTGGACAGATAAAAACGCTTGCTTTAGTAAGGGGATACAAATACTAACTACGATTGCCGTGATATGTGTATCCAAAGTGTATCCACAAGATATAATGGGGATACACATATCACTGAACGGCGATCGCAGTGATATGTCTATCCCCGAGTAACTCGCTGTCGTCTGTCAATTTGGAATCAATAATACACTTACTAGCCATATATAAGCTTAGGTAGTAATTTGCTGGACAGACAAAAGCGCTTGCTTTTACCAAGGGATACACATATTGACAGCGATTGCCGCGATATGCGTATCCACATTGTATCCCCAAGATGTATTGGGGATACACATATCACTGAACGGCGATCGCAGTGATATGTGTATCCCCTGACTAACTCGCTGTCGTCTGTCAATTTGGAATCAATAATACACTTACTAGCCATATATAAGCTTAGCTAGTAATTTGCTGGACAGACAAAAGCGCTTGCTTTACCAAGGGATACACATATTGACTGCGATTGCCGCGATATGCGTATCCACATTGTATCCCCAAGATGTATTGGGGATACACATATCACTGAACGGCGATCGCAGTGATATGTGTATAAAAATTGCTGTCAGTTGGTGAAATATTTCATGCACTTACGTACTAGCCAGTAAAGGAGCTAGTAGCAAGTAATTTCAGTGCTAGACAGGCGACAAAGCCGATACGATTGTAGTCACCAGTGATATGTGAATCCCTAAGATATATTTTTGTTTAAATGACAATTTCGATTCCTTTATATTTCCAATAGATTGTTTGATGTTTGCTACTGGCCCATAAGAACTGTCGGACTCGCGAGTCGTGTCTTTACAGTTCTGATTGTGGAAGATGGTTCAGTGAACGATTTGCGTCCATTAACACAAGTTAGCCGTAATTATTTATTTTTTGGAGGGGAGGGGGGGGGATACACATATCACTGGCCGCCATCTTGGAGGGGGTACACATATCACTAGTGATATGTGTGCGGGGGTACACATATCACGGGGGTACACATATCACTGTGACACCGTCTTGCGCTCCTTCGCTTCCATCTCAGGCAAGAGTTTCGACTTTCTTGGTCGATGGATTGTACCACTTTACTTGACGACCCCCAACATCTGTGAAAACTAGTGTCCCCTTGAATCTTGCTACTTTCCTGATCTCTCTGCAGTTGACAGTCATATTTTCAAGCACATTTGTTACCTCACTGGATTCAATATCAAAACGGTACAGGCCACCGTTACAATGGGGACTTTTTGCCGCAGTGAAGTAAACAACTGAATAATCAGATTTTGCAATCGACTCCAAGTGATGAATACCCTCTGGATAGGCTATTGGTTTCCGTAACTTTCCGTCTATTGTAACCCCATTCCGTTCCAGCTGGATCTGATAAACAACTCGGGAGAGTGTCAGGAGAAGGAGTTCCGGCGGCATTGTGTTGTTTTCAGACATCTTTTCGATTTCTAGTAGGGCCTGCTTATTGCGCTCCTCACAGTCTGTAACAACAGCCAGAACTGCAACTTTTCTACATTGCACTGACTCCTCTCAGCAGGATTCGCAGCAACTGAGTGCAGGCAGATAAGAGAAATGACCCTTCCGTTGACATTCTTGACAACCAGCTTTCATTTCAAGACATCTGTCGCATTTGGTACTGTTGCACTGCGAAGTATTATGTGTAACAATGTGGTTCTTCGCAGGCTGTTTATTTAAGCATCGATCACAGACTTGTACAGTTTTTGCCATCCCAAGCATTTGCGATAGAATGTCCTCTACAGATACTGACTTTGGATGGCAATGGACACCAATTGGCATCGTGGAGCTATTGTCGACGGTCGTCATAAAGGTAACTGCGGCACTCGTAATGAGATTCGCTTTTATTTCTTCAGGTTTAGGAACAGGGTTGTCGCAAACATAATTCCAGTCAACTTTGTAGGTTAACCCGATGATCCTTTTCTGCCTGGTATCGAATCCTAGTTCTGGCTTAAGGGCTGTCCAGTCCATAGCAAGTGAGACTCCTATAACTTGGACTTGATCACTGCTCACTAAGTAATTAATGTCAGCTTTTGGGGTGGCTAGAAAACACATGAAAGGATTGCAAATGGGGTTTAATTATCCCACTGTCTGTTGTATAACCTGCCTTACAGCGATTAGAAACATGTTGGGATGGACCACAGAGATTGAAATCTGCAAAGGTCGTGAACTGCTTTTTTCCTCCGCGTCCAGTGGCATGAAATCCTGGGCCTCGAAGAAAATTTCGCGTTCTTTGACTGAGGCGGCAGAACTGCCTCAGGACCTTGCAAATCGATGAGCCGTACTATGTAAACACAACTTTAGTTTAATTTACAGAAATTCTTGTACACGCTACCATTGATTCCTAGATTCCTTACAAACGATTCCTTGTGAACAATGCCTTGATAATGCAATGGGAACGTAATAGCGATGTAACTGATGCGACTGGCAACAATGTGAAATAACTGATGCGATGCGGTAAAGAAAACTAAAAGAAAAACAGAAAACCTATTATTACCAAAGCGAGCTCGGTGTGATACGAAATTACAATACAATAAAGCAAAACAGTAACTCTGAAAACTTGCATCTGTGTCCTTGTTCCGTTAATGACATAAACCTTAGTCCTTAATCCGTTCCTTGATACCTTTTAGCCGTAGAAATGTTCAACTCAAAGGACTAACTCAGCGAAAACGTTCTGAAACGTTCGACTAGCGTGGTCATCCGGAACTACTCGGTCCCAGGCCACCGCAACGTAAGTTTCTGTCATGTCACGCAGCGTCACGCGCAATGCCGCCGTGACATTGACCACCTAGGTACTTTACAGTTTCAAAAAACTCACAGACCTCGTGATCCCAATGGAAATCTGACGCTTTGCTTGAGTCGATCATGGCAAATGATGTTGTGTCATTGATATACTTGTAAAATAGACATTCCTCGGGGGGGCGACCCTAAAAGCCGAAACGGAGGAATGGTGGAATGGCGGAATGGCGGAAAATGACCCCAAATCCTGGAATACGGAACGGCGGAAAATGACCCCAAATCCTAAAACACGGAACGGCGGAAAATGACCTCAGATCCTAAAACATGGAACGGCGGAAAATGACCCCAAATCCTAAAACACGGAACGGATGTAAGGGCATGTTGCACAAATTTTGTACAAAGACACCAAGCGCTTGGCTCATTTATCCCCACGACGATAACGCGCGCGACTAAAATTAAGTGCTTGAACCCTAAGCGAAACCCCCATTTTTTCCAGTCATTTGCTAGCAGCAAAAAAAAAGACGGCATGGCGGAAAATTACCCCAAAGCCTAAAAGATGGAATTATAGACAAGGCCAAAGGATCAAGAGAGCCAAATAAAAATCAAGTGTACCCACACTAATTTCCCCTTAGGAGGATAACTTCCGCGGATATTAAGTCAATACCGGAAAAAATATCTTTGCTCGTAATAATGTTTAATATCATGCTGTGGATGTCCATTAACTAATTTATCAACCTCTCTTTTTTGAGTAAAATTGACATTAGGCCTGTCAGGGTTTGACTTTGTCCACATGCAGTGATGCAATCACTCGCGTTGACTTACTTCTTGTTAACGCAATCTTAACTAAAACTTCGACATTATCAGTAAAAATATATCGAGCTTTAATCAACGAGGAATACCATTATCTAATATTAACGGGACCTGTCAATGTCAGTCATCTTAACACAGGTTTCACCAACTAACTCTAATAATTATAATGAGTGAATTTTAGACAAAATATGCTACACGGTTGCTTAATTTAAAAGTGAGAATGATGTTGATTTAAAAAAACTGGAAATAATTTCAGCAGTAACTAACATTAACGGGACCTGTCTACGAATCATGTTCACACAGGTTTCGTCTTATAACATAAACAATGGTCGACTCAAGCGAAAACTTTTGCTACAATTGCTTACACAAAAACACAAACTCCGATATTTGAAATACTATTACTTTTCTATCATTATAAACCAAACTGAGCCGAGCGGGCTTGAAAAGCACTGCATTTCCTCGAATAAGCACCCGAGCTACCATCTAAATTTTTGGCTAAAAGAAGGGGCTCTTATAAGGAGAGAACTTAATCGAGGGGGGCACTTAATAGGAGATTATTAACCTGCACTGATTGTGCTGTAGTTGAGTCTGAAGGCGTTTGGGGTGAGCGCTTATTCGAGAAAATACGGCATTTATGGTCTCGTAGTCACTATTGCGCAGACTGTTCATAGACCGAACTCGCTTCGTAAATGCCGAAGATGAATATCATCCATCACCTCCTTGTCAGCATCCGTTACTTCCACCGACGGATAATACTTTTTGTCGTGGGCGTTGCGAATGCAGGACAATTTTGGGTGATAATGCACTGGTTCCGGCTTGATGGACATCTTCAGCTCACCAGCACCATTAGAGATTAGCCGGAGTTCCAGTCGTGCGAGAACAAAGTCCCAAGGTGGTGGAGGAACAATTTCCGTTTCGCCTTTCTGGGGTTTGGGACGGATGTTTTGCCGACACCCATAACATCTGTAAACTCTCGAGTTCTTGAGCCATTTAACTTTGAAGGTATTGGCGTTAAGTGTTGGTTTCGGAGGGGTAGGAACTCTTTCTGTGTATTTGCTAGGTGAACGCTCGCACTGGGGATTACGTTTTCTTTTCCGTTCGGCTTCTCCAGGTTTCCCATCGACTGACTTTGGCATGTTCTTGTAAGCGCATTTGGTCAGATTCTTGTTCTTAGCCTTTGCATTATTGATCGAGCCTTCTTCCAGTTGTAAAAATGCCTCCATTGAAATTTCATGAACTCTCCTATTAATCTTCTCCTTTTGGGCGTGCGACTTCCCGATGTAGGTGGAGAAGGGAACATGAAGCTTGGAACTGTATTGCTGCCTTATCTTGAAAGGACCCTCATCCACAATAGCCCTTTCGCAATTCCTTTCCTCCTCTTCAGAAATAGATTTTAGCAAGTCAACTACTTCAGTCCAGGCGAGTTTTCTTTCCCCGTACATCTGCCCTTTTCGTGCTTTTATCCGCTGATGTTTGGACTCTGCTGCGTTGTTGTAAAAAAAGGCTTCCCCTAGGCCAGCACGTTTTCTAACGGGGGAAATCATCTTCTTCTTCATGTCTTCCGCAACGTGTGCGACAAAGTACTTGTGGAATACTACTTTGCTTGAATCGGAGAGTGCTGTACCCCTTGATGTTTTTTCTCTTGAATTCCATACTTTTTCCAAACTCTCAAGTTTAGCATCAAAGTCCATGCATCCTTCGGAATCGATGAGCCCTTTTTCATGGTTGGCATCAGACCCAAATATGTCACGTAGAAAAGCTGTAAGGTACTCTGATGAGATTCCTAACGAGCGAAGCTTCCTTTACAGTCCTCTACCACGTGACGTTTGCAAGCAAGCCATGTTGCAACAGGAAGATAAGGACTCATTCCCTTCTCAACGGCATCTTCTTGGTCTGACCCTATAAATCGTATGTTTCTGGTGCCGTTTTCAAGTCCTGTAAGTGTGGCTCCAAAGTAGCTGAAGGTGTCGCTATCCTTTGTGACGATAATTTTTTTCTCGCCCAAACTGGGAAACTGAATCTTTGCGACGGAACAATAACAACTGGGGGAACTAACTCTGTAGAGACGACTTGGCAGCGAGAACGGAAACTCGTCACGATTTCCTGGTACACGGAGACCTACTTCTAGTAAGCTTGTACGGACGTCAAGGATAAGACAATCTTTGGTTCCACAGTACTTTTATTCTAGGTCAGGCCAACAAGCGACATGACCTCTAGCATACTCTAGTTTGTAATCATCAAAGCTGTACAAGGTACTTGCTTAAGAAGTAACTGGTGCGAAGTGCTATTGTTACACGAATCGCAATATTTGGATAAGGACACAAAGGAGCGGAAAAAAAGTCTCTTTGAAGCTAAACAAAACTACTTAAATATTCCATCTGTTTCCACGACGGAAAGAATCTCAAAATTAAAAGACGGATGCAATAAACTCTAGGCCATTAAAGTAGGAAACCTAGGTGCGAATTTACAGCTCTGATATAGAAAACAATACCTATCTTAATTGCAGCAGCGCAGCTTAGGAAATAGAAAACGGAAAAGCAATTTTTGATTTATTGAAATGAAAGGACTTGAAATGGTTAAATGTGAAAGTTTACGAATAAATATGTTCGGAATAACACACACGGGAAAATCAGTAAATTTTCCCGTAACATTCCTCCCACCTTAAATCGAGACCTCCTGGTCGAGAAAAACTCCTAGAAACTTAGAGGTCATAGTGACCATTGCACTTGGCATTCTTATAACCATTAACTCGAGTTAAAGCAATATTTCTCTTCTTGCATGCCCTTATGTCGTATTTCTTACTGCGCGTAACCTTCTATTTACTAAGGAGTTGTTAACCTATTTCTTGGAAGAATTTAAAAAATAACAAGTTAACAATCGTCTTGATCCTATCTTACTTCTTGGTCAACAGCTAAGTGGTACTCTCTACTTGTTGCTAAAGTCAGTCATGGGTCTGAGGATAAGTAGTCTTCCTAAGTGCATCATGAACTTAGGCATTTCCATTCCTGGAGGTGCTTCTTGATATTGATCAAATCCCTCGTTAGATTCCATTCTGTAATCAATTTTGGCTGGGGTATCAGAAAGATCGCCTTGGTGCCAAACCTTTTGTGACACCTGTGCGAATGAAGGTGGTGGTTTTTGGATAACAGACCTGAAGTTACCATTTGCATCGGTGTGAAATGTTGCGGACAGGGACACGGAAATGAGCACTAATATCAATAGTGACTGGCTTATTGCAACTTCTTTGTTCTTTGGATAACGGGAAGGTAAGTTTCCTACAGGAGGCTGCACTGAACCTTCACTTGGAGGGGCGTGTCCATTTCTTCTGACATATTTTTCTTGAGGTTTAAATGTTCCTGTCAAAGGCGTTGAGGCTGAACATGTTTGCTTTTGTTGATTTGCTGATTCTTTTAGAGTAAGGGTGTTGTTATCGAGGTCAATCATAGCTCTGTTTACTTGGAGGGAATCGCGACCAAGGATGGCGTCATAAGTAAGGTTCTGCACGACCTGGAATTCACAAGGGAACTGACTTTCCTTAAGATATAACGGCAAGGTAATTCTTCTTAGCTGTAGGTTGTCTTTCCCAGTCTGAACTGTGGAGAAGGGAACGTCACCGTAGATCTCTTTTAAAACTTCTTCTTTTATAGCTGAAACGCTTGCACCAGTATCCAACATTAGACGAACAGGTTTTCCTGCTATTTTACCTTTAGTGACCAGGTTCCTAGGGTACGTGTCTCCTTCATTTACGAGAGGTAGCTGAACACTTGACTGATTTGACATTTGTAACTTTCTTGGCTTCTGGTTTGGATTTCTCGGCTTTCTACTCTGGTCACTGGTTCGTGTCGGCTTCATCTTCTGTAATAAATTAGGGTCGTTTGTGGCGTTTTCCTGACTCTCGAGTTGTGATGCAGTCCCTTCAACATCTGACTGGTTCTCTTCTTCGTAAGTGGAAGATTCTTCTGGTTGACAGTAAGTTGGTCGGGTAGCACGATGTAGGACCTGTCTCTCCTTCTGGAAACCGTCATTAGATTGGTTATAGTTGCAGTAATACTGAATATGGCCACGGCGTCCACATCGATAACATACGGGTTTAGTCTTGAAACTGTACTTCCTCCATTTATAACTAACTTCCTGTTTAGGCTTTATATTCCGGACGATTCCATCTAGCTTCGTTCCAAGCTCGTTAATTTGCTCTTGCATGTCAAACATCCTAAAGTCTGTGTCTGGAAATTTTTGAGGAACAGGATAAGGGCTGAGATTGTCACTGTCTTCAAAGCATCTAACGTCCTCTACTGGATCTGATAACTGGCAGTCAGGGGGGGTTTTCTGTAACCTTGGTAATTTCCCGTCAAATAGGTCTCTGGTGGACTGTTCATCAATGGCAGACATGTTTGCTCTGGTGTTTACAAGTAGCCCTGCGTCTTTCTGATTCAACTGGGCGGTGACCATAGAATCACGTGGTCTGAGCTCATCGGACGTAACGTTACATTGGACAGCGGTAGCTTCAAGGGATTCACATGGGGTCTCGTCAGGAACCGGGCCACTGGGTGGTGAATTTTCCTCATATCCGGCGGAAGTATTTGGTTGTGGTGGCACAGAGGGGTCTGTAACTGAGATGACTGGATCAGGTTCACATCCGGCGGAAGTGCTAGGTGGTGGCAGAGGGGGATCTGGAGCTGAGATGACTGATTCAGGTTCACATCCAGCGGAAGTGCTAATCTGTGGCGGAGAAGGATCTGGAGAAGAGCCGTTTTTCACCTCGTTCTCAGGGTTCATACTTTGACTGGTGTTGGTTTCAATCGTCTTTTGAGCTCGGCGAACTACCCCGGGGAACGAAATAAGTCTATTTGGCTGGCACTTTTTCTTACTGTTAGGCTTCTTCTTCTCTGCCTTGAGAGTTTTTGTCGGTCCCAGTGGACGGGTGGCTATATCTGCGTCGGTTTTCGTCACCAGACCTTCCAGTAGGTCATTCTCAGAGTGGTCAGCGGATGTGTTTCCATAAATTCCATCATTTGCATAAGCGTGCCTGTAATGTGGCCGTATATCGTCCGATTGTTGTTTTGAGGTTGGGAAGAACTCGCTCGTTAGCGTATTGTATGCCACTTTATCTTCTCTGGCTACTTCTCGGTGGGATCGGAGCACATTTTGGCGCTGCTGGAAAATTTCATTGTCGACTTGCGAGTCGTTCCTGCCTGAGTTCAGTCCTGGGAACTTTCCTTCACTCTGTGGGAATACATAACAAGTGCCATTGTGTGCTAATGGTGCCATGTGGCTGTGTGGGAAAGCTTCCTCGTTAACAGTGGCTGAATTAAGAACTCTTGGATCCAAGGGAGCCAATCCATCACGTCGCTGTGATTGATACCCAGATCTCGGAAGATTATTATCAGGCGGCTGACGTCGCTGCTGGTGCGGTTGGTAACGATCAAAATTTTGATTCGCCTCGCGCGAATATCTCTGGTTGCAGTTCTTCTGTACATGGCCAACTCTACCGCAAGAATAACAAACTGGTCGTCCTTCTCGCGTTCGCTGTCTTGGAAGTTCGGCTTCACGGTTGGGTTGTTGGCGTCTGGCAAGACCATTTATTCGGGCGTCCATGCGTCTGTCAAGGTTTTGTATCATGTCCAATAAAGTGTCCTTTATCTGGCGAATTTCCTTGAATACATCGCGTGTTTCTGGGCTCCCGGCTGAATAAGCTGCTAGAGGCGTAACTCGACTACCTTCCGTTTTCCTGGCAGCTTTTTCGAGCTGGTCAATTCTGGCTAGCAGAGCTTCTACTTGGTGAACACTGGCCTCGCTAGTGAATCCGTTTACCAGGGCGTCGAGTTTGGCCAAGGTATGGTTTTCTGGTGCGGGCGGATCAGGCTTGGCGAGAATCCTTTGTTGTTTAAGCTTCTCGTCCAACATTTCTATTTTAGCTAATATGGCGCTGTTGGGGACGTCCATGGAACGTGACAAATTATGTATCTGGGCTGTCATATTGCCATCAGGAGCATTGTTCATGGTCGTTTTGACCGCACACGCCAACCTGGCCATTTCTTCAGCTTCGCGGAATGTTCTGGGCTGTTTCAAAAGCACAGTCTCGCGTATTTCTGGTCTCAATCCTTGGACGAAGTAACGCATCTTATCGGCATCTGCTATTTTAAGCCGACGAAACTTGTTCGTTAAATCAGTTAGATATGTGTCCAAGGATTCCATGGCGCCTTGCTGACGAGTGGAAACGGCCTGCCAAATTATCCAGCTCTGATTGTCATTAGCAAAACGATCCCTCAAGGAATCACGCAGGCCTGCGAAGCTAGCTTTCTCTTCAGGAGTCAGAGAATAATAGTAATCCTCGGCTGGGCCAGCAAGGTTCATGACCAACTCTGCCAAAGCTGTGGGGCTGGTTAAGTCAATTCGACGAAGCTTCAGGTAATTTTCTATCTTGTCTAACCATCGGTTAATATCTTCAGTATCATAGCCATGAAATGGGGGTGGTCTGTGTGTGCTTGAAATCTCTGGTAGGGGTGTTTGTGCCAATGCGCTGGCTGTTCGTTGTTGCGCTTGAGACTGTAGATTTAATTGGGCTCGTAGCACTTTTATTTCGTCCTGCATTTCTCTCAGTAATTCAGCTTCCATCGTTGCGAAGTGTCGTTGTTCAGTCTCGCTGTTTATGTCTTCGCAGGATTCTAAATTTTCTTCTTGTTCGTCTTCACTATTTGCTGTATTATCTTCGTTTCCTTCCTCTTCGCTTCCTTCGCTAGAACTTGACTCGAAGCGAAATCTTCTTTGTGGTGCTGTTTGTTTTGGTTCTGTGTAATTTATGCTTTTTCGCACCAAAGCGTCAAAATGCTCTGGTGAATTAATTATCTGCAAAAATCTTCTTTCTAGGGATTCGTCGACCTCGGAATCGCTGGTTTCCTCAACTTCTAAATCGGTTCGGGGACAGTGATGTGACTGACTGGACTGGTTTGGGATGAAATCTTCGGATGGACTTGCGTCGCTCTCTTGACGCGGAACAAAGGAGGTCGTTGGCTCTGGTAAACCTTGCTGAACAATGGATGGGCCTTCACACGGATCAATACTAATATCGATCGCTTCGGTATTCGTTCTGTTGGCTGGATTCTGTTCGGAAAATGCGGTGGAAAATCTCGGAAGGCCGTTGGACTGAATAGGTTCTATTTCTTCGCTGGAACTGGTGACGTGTGCCGTGGGCGGCAAGGAACTTGGGTGGAATGGTAATTCAAACGACAATGTACAATTTTCTTCTTCAGACAAAGAAGCCTGCACTTCTCTGTTTACTTTTGGCGTACTATTTCTGGCAACGGGAACGGCTGATTTTCGGCTTCTCAAATTATAACGCGGCAAACTTTTCGTAAAAACTCTCTTCACGGACTTCATAAAGAGACAAAAGAAATTTCTGGTACTCACGTAACTTGAGCGGTTCTTTTCTTGTCGGCGCTCAAGGGATTACATCGGCTGGCGTGAAACTGGATTTGGCGTCTTCTCTGACCTTGATAACGTCCTGGAAGCTCCAAGAAGTGCCCGGCGTAACCACCACTGTGACGATAGGTTTTTCTCGCCCAAACTGGGAAACTGAATCTTCGCGGACGGTGCAACAACAACTGGGGGAACTAACTCTGTAGAGACGACTTGGCAGCGAGAACGGAAACTCGTCACGATTTCCTGGTACACGGAGATCTACTTCTAGTAAGCTTGTACGGACGTCAAGGATAAGACAATCTTTGGTTCCACAGTACTTTTATTCTAGGTCAGGCCAACAAGCGACATGACCTCTAGCATACTCTAGTTTGTAATCATCAAAGCTGTACAAGGTACTTGCTTAAGAAGTAACTGGTGCGAAGTGCTATTGTTACACGAATCGCAATATTTGGATAAGGACACAAAGGAGCGGAAAAAAAGTCTCTTTGAAGCTAAACAAAAACTACTTAAATATTCCATCTGTTTCCACGACGGAAAGAATCTCAAAATTAAAAAGACGGATGCAATAAACTCTAGGCCATTAAAGTAGGAAACCTAGGTGCGAATTTACAGCTCTGATATAGAAAACAATACCTATCTTAATTGCAGCAGCGCAGCTTAGGAAATAGAAAACGGAAAAGCAATTTTTGATTTATTGAAATGAAAGGACTTGAAATGGTTAAATGTGAAAGTTTACGAATAAATATGTTCGGAATAACACACACGGGAAAATCAGTAAATTTTCCCGTAACACCTTTCTCGTGTGTATTAGTGTTGGCCCAAGTAAAAGAGGGGGGTTTTCAGTTCTCCTGTCGTCCAGCAGCAGATGCCTATAGGTTGTAGGTGTCACATAGAAGTCGCCAATGTTGAAAGTTATGTCGATGGAGAGCACTGAAAAATTTTCAGTTGTATTGGCACAAAACCGCTTAACATCCTGAACTTGCTTATCAGAAGCCAAAACGCATGCCAGACTAGGTGCAATTTGCAGGCGTCGAATATAAACTTTTCCCGTTTCCTCCTCTTCTTTTGATTTGAGGGTTAGGTCGTATAACTCGTCTTGACTTCGAACTTCCCTTCCCTTATATTTTGCGTTCTCCACTTGCTTTCTATTTCTGGGAACATCGGAGACACTGCAAACCTTGAGTAGGCCCTCAGCCTCTTCAAACACTTTGTCATACACTTTGAACGGAGGAGCAGAACCTTTCACCTTTCCCTTGATGCACTCCAAAACTCCAGGTTTGGTGCGAGTAAAAGCTTTCTCGGACTTAGAATTGCCGTGTGGTGTGGTCGTGATCGCATGTGGTTTTCCGCTGAAACTGTACTGTAAAAGTACGAATCGCTCGGGCGTAAAGCTGTGTCCACTATATCTGAGTATTTCATAAGCTCTTCTGCGGAAATCAGGATGTTGTACGTGCGTCCAGTACGTTCTCTTGAGAAGAACTGTGGAGCGTTTGCAATCTTCTGGTTTTGTTTTGGATATCCAGCGGATTCCCGGATTCTTGTCCTCGTAATACGCAACAACATGAGTTCCATCGTTTTTGTAGACTCCAAGGCCATCTGCTTTCCAGTCGTCTGGGTTTCGAAAATACGGCGATTTTTTTATCAACAAGACGCCTGTTGAGCGTTCACTCCGGCCATTTTAGGGGTGGATGTTTGGGTGGGGGGGGATTGATTCTTAAACAATGTGTGTATATATGACAATAAACAATGAGCTGTTGGAGTATTATCAGATTTGTGTTGGAATTTGAGGGTTTTTTGTCCTGTTGGGTCTTTAGGGACTTGTAAAAAAGTATTGGGGGTGCGGTGGAGGAAAAGGGGGGTGTATCAGCAAGTTTTGAACCTTCGCAAAGGGGTGGGGCATCCCTTCGTTGAGCCCCAGTTGGGGGTGGGTGATGATGGTGTTTTGACTGGAAATTTCTCTCAGAAGGCTGGAATTGCTATTTCAAACAGCTCCCATGTCCCCGGAGGGCCCCCCGCTAAAAATTTGCAGCTGGGGCAGTCACGATGGCCCCATAATAAATTTAACCCTGCTACACTACTGAGTTGTATAGAATACTCTTTACTGCAGATATAAAGAAAAACGTAATGAGACATACATTTACTTAGGGCAGAGTTTTGGGGGGTGGGTCATGGCTGTATCTCCTTTGTTACTTAGGGTAGAGTTTTGGGGGGTAGGTCATGCCAGTAGTCTCTTTTTAATTCTTTTACTGTATTTTAGATATTTTTATTATATATACAGGGTTCGTACCCTTTTTCAGAAACAATTTTCCAGGACTTTTCCAGGACTTTTCCAGGCTTCAGATTATTTTTCCAGGACTCCAAAATTCACCTTAACTCTTTCACTCTCATAAGTATAAAAGATTCATTTCTACTTTCAATTTCAACACATTGTCAGACATACAAATGAGAACAAAGAAAACAGAGAATATCAACTTCTTTCATTGAACTCTTAATATCTCAGAAGTAACATCAGAAATCCGTGACTGATACTAAGTAGAATTAATATTCACATCTTGGGATTCAAAGTGGGGTTAATTATTTTTCAGCTCTTGGAGCTTTCCTTCCAACTGCTCTTCAATGTCCTTTAAGACTGCCCTTTTTCCTTGGCAGATCTTCGCAAACTGTTTGATTTGGCAACCCAAGTAAGGTTTCTTGAATCTTCAGCCCTATCTGCAAATTCATCTGCAGTCTTTAAAAGAGTCTCTATATCAGTTTCAATTTGCCGTTTTTTTTCTTCTTCAGCACATCAATCCCATCCATTGCTGCCTTTCTTTTAAGCGAGTTTTCCTGGGACACTTTAATTCTCTTCTGCTCTTCTAGATAGGAAATATATTTCTGTCGCGCTCCAGCAGATGCCATAAGTAGTTGCTTTGAGATTTTTACATTGGCAAGGCCTCCAACTGATTCAATATGATCATGAATAATCCTCTGTGCAATGAACGATCTTTCCGACAGGTTCTCAACTGCCACTTCTTTGTTTACAGAAAATCCTCTTTCAACTGTGGCTTGACCATGAGACATTAGCAGCAATAATTCAACTACCCCCCATGCTTTTGCCAGTTGCTTATTACCAGCCATGTGTTCATATAACAGTGTGTCGACTCTTAAAGAGGATTCACTAGGGTCAAAATCTTCAAAGTCAGGATTACCTGCACATTCATCCAAAAACTGTCCAAACTGATATATCACCTCATCACACTCATCAGCCTTCAATCTGTGGGCTTCCACAAGAATTTCAAGAACTCTTTTCATTTTTTTGACACATCCTTCTTTCTCTGATGCCATTAGCCTTGGATCCAGACAAGACATACTTCTTACTAGTCGATAATTTATTGGTGTTTTGTCAAGCAGTTTAGAGGCTGTTTTTGCAAGAAAATCTTTACATTCCATTCTGAATTGAAGAACTTGCCTTTCACTCAATTTCCCAGATTTTTCTTTCAGCATGTGTTGTGCCACAAAGCCAACATCAACTTTCTGGTAGTCTAACTGCTGTTCTTTATCAGTGGGCTTCAACCTCAGGATCTTCAGAGGAGATGTTGCCTCGGTAACAAGTTCACCCTTGATAAACCTATTCAACAATGATTTCAACAAAGTGTACAAACTGATACTCATGAATGGCAGCATAGGTTTATCAGTCTGAAATGCTGTGAGAAAAGGATTGATCTGTTTTGCCACTGATGAGAAGAAGGCAATCTTTGCTGGCATCAAGGGATCACAGCAACTACTGCTAATGGTCTCGTAAGATTTGGACTTGGGATCAGTAACTTTCTTTGCCTTAACAGCATTAATGTATTTGACAATGTGAGGCCACACTTCCAGTGCTCGCTCGGCAACTGACACATTCTCTAACCACCGGTGCTGGCAGAATTTTAGGGGAATACACTGCTACCAGTTATTCTAATGTAGTCTTCTCTTCGAGCCGGACTGTCTTTAAACAGCCAGTAAAGACTGGAGAGAGTTTTCTGCACCGTCCATCCAGCTGCATCACAACCATCCTTAAAAGCTCCATGCACAACATGTATACCACAACTGCCTGTGTTAAGGAGAGTGCAACTGAAATCACTCTTCAATTCTTGCTCTACCATTTCATAAAATTTCCAGTTAACCTTGGGCCCATCCAGAGAGTTGAATCAGATTTCTACAGCTCAAGTCCTCTTTGCAAGAATGAAACTTTTGAAGCATATCCTCTGCACTAGAATGCCCAAGAAATTGTGAATCATAATAGCGAGTTTCAACTTTGTCATGATTCCAGATGCGAACATGGAAATCCATCTGCTTCTTTTTTGCAGTTCGTGATTCAAACTTTCATCAAACAAAAGCACATATCCCTTTGAAGATTTGACTTTTTCCTTTAGAAGACTCTTGAAACATGGTGCAATACCAAAGCAAGAAAGATAGGAGGCCTTTTTTCTCCCCACAGGTAAATTTCTTTGCAATGTCACTGTCTGGAAACATTTGCTGCACTAAGAAGTTTATATCTGTACAGGAATTATACGAATAATGGCTGCTATTCACCTTTAGCGCCCACCAAATTTCAGCAGTTAAAGTATCATTCCTCGTCACGAACCCGGACATACCTGCTGTTGTACTAGCGGCACTACTTGATACAGTCAAAGTAGAGTTGTTACTTTCAGTGGCTGTTCGAGGGGCAGCGAAAGAGCTGTTCGAGAAAAGGTTTCTTATGTCACCTGTTGTATTTCTTTGTTGCTTTTCGATAAGATGAATATGCTTCTTTCCCTTTTCGTGGCTTTTCAATGCCGATTCTCCCATATTTGATACATCAAACGCTTTCATACAAACTCTACATTTTGCTTTAAACTTGTCCGCGTCACGTTCCAGCCACAATTTATAGGAAGAGTTTTCCAACCATCGGTCACTAAACAAGCATTTCCCAGGCATATTTCGGAACAAAACATTTAAAACTCAAGACGCCCATTCACTGAGTACCCGTTTACAAAATCATGCATGCATCAAGGTTACTACTGCGCATGAGCTTATGATGATACATGAGCCCTCGATCCAGAGTTACACTCGTGTCAGTTTCGGGAAACATGAAAAAATATAGATGCGGTCATGCGGTCAAAACCAGAAAGGAATACGTTATAAAAATACTAAAAAAACTTTGCTCATTTGTTTTAGAGAAAACTTTATTACTTTGTTCAGTTTAACAGATTTCCAGGACTTTCCAGGACCAGCATTACTTTTCCAGGACTTTCCAGTCCTGGAAAATGCGATAATAAAATTCCAGGACTTTCCAGGATTTCCAGGACCCGTACGAACCCTGTATATAAGACGTGTTTAAATAAAGGTTCTTATCTTATCTTATTTTCAGCCATCTTTGGGGGGTGGAACACCAAAGTTTTAATCCAAAGTGAGGGGGTGGGTCAAGGGTTTTTAAGCAAGCGCCCCTCCCCCTTTTACTATTTTGACCAGTCCCTTAGATTTGGATTTATATCATGAACTGGATGGTATAGATAGCTGGAAAAGGTGAATAACTAAAAGGGTGTCTTTCCTTGCATTTTTCTAATCTGAACAATAGTTTTATTTCATTTTATAAATCTAGAAATCTCTTGTAAAACAACAGATAAAACGTGATAACAATTTGGTAAAGCATGAACCGAATACTTTACATTAACCAAGTACTTTGTTATTCAAACATGTTATTAGATGATCTTGTGTCTGTGTTAAGAGAATAAAATCAATACCACTGTTCTAAATCAAGTTACTTAAGCTGTTTAACTTTTTTTCATTTTATAAATCTATAAATCTCTTGTAAAACAACAAATAAAACGTGATAACAATTTGGTAAAGCATGAATCGAATACTTTACATTAACCAAGTACTTTGTTATTCAAACATGTTATTAGATGATCTTGTGTCTGTGTTAAGAGAATAAATCAAGACCACTGTTCTAAATCAAGTTACTTAAGCTGTTTTAACTTTTTTTTCATTTTATAAATGTATGAATCTCTTGTAAAACAACAAATAAAATGTGATAACAATTTGGTAAGGCATTAATGAAATACTTTACATTAACCAAGTACTTTGATATTCAAACATGTTATTAGATGATCTTGTGTCTGTGTTAAGAGAATAAAATCAAGACCACTGTTCTAAATCAAGTTACTTAAGCTGTTTTAACTTTTTTGGAGTTTGATTCTTCTTCTTCAGGCTCAGGGTGAGTGTCGGTGTCTGCTGGTGCAGCGTGTTCCAATATTTTTCGGTCGAGATCCACTCTCAGTGTGAACTTAGTGCTTAGTAGATTTACTATGTCTTGTTCTGTTGGCTTGGGTTTTGGCTCCTGCCATTTGAAGAGATGCTGTATGACCTGAAAATAAAATAAAATGTTGTGATTGAGGAATGGTTGTTATTAAATGTCATAATCTAGTGACAGTCCGTTTATGGTAGTAAATCATTTTGGTTATTGGAATAACAAGACGACAGTCAAGGGGAAGTACTTCCATAATGGGGGTGCTTATTGGAAGGAGGGTACTGAAAGATGTTATTATGGTTAGAATGCATCATTAGGGATGGAAACTTACACGTAATTTTGACAGCAAGTGGCGAGTGTCTTTAATGATA